AAGCATTTTATTGAGCACCGAGCCACATACCAGATGTTGTAAAGAGACCTGAAGCAACATGCATGCTGCAGAGTCCCTACTCCTATAAGACCTACTGCTGTCATGGAAGGAGCGGGGGTGGAGAGCAGCAGTATACTACTAAAATGCAATGTGACAAATCCTAGAATAGAAGTGTGTGCTGATCAGAGTAAGCTTTGCAACAGCAAGCAGTGTTCAATGGGCCCCAGAGGAATGTGTCAGATAAACAAATGATGGGGGAAGGGTACGTCTTTGTCTACATTAGTAAGAAGAGGTTGCAAAGAAAAAATAAGTGCACATTTGCTTAGAGAAACTAGAGGAAAGCAAATGTACTAGAGACCTTTTTTTCTTTCCCAAAAGTAGAGAAAGTGAGCAGAGCCCTCGCCCTCACTCCTCCCACCTTCAGCTGGAAGCCAGCTCAGTTCTGTGAAGGCTTGTTCACAGAGGGAGGTAGGGGGCAGGTAGCACAGCACCAACAAAAGACTTCTAGACGGCAAGGCTGCACAACAGGGTACACCCAGGCTGTTAAGCCCTGAGCTATAGATCAATTGTTGTTAAGCATTTTAGAGCATAGTGACAGTTCTGGTGGAACTGTACTCTTACTACAGGTCACCCCCATCGGGTGAGCAGAGCAGTGGGATGGGATAACAACACAGCCCTTTGCCCCTCGGTCTACCATTAACTGAGGGCAAATCTTTTAGAGCTTTCAGTGACACAAACAGCCCACTGCAGCATGCATCCCATTGGATTGACACCACTGATCTAGCAGTAAGTCCTGGATCAGTCTTTTCAGATCTTCAGACCTGGATAAAGACTTGGAAGGATGGATGTATATAAAATCATCCTTGTTCATTCATGGTTTTCTAAACTGTAGCCCTTATGGAGAGCTCACTGTACACCTAGACAGTGTGCATCTGAGGTTGGCCAGTCCAGTGGAAGCTGAATATTTGTTTCACATTCAGGATGCCCTTGGAGAACTCCCAAAAGGAGGCTTCCAAGAATAGTGGCGCCTCACCCCTGTTAAGCAGATGGGCAGTGGCTCTAGTTCTAGGATGCACCTCCAAGTACTATTACACAGCTGGTTTTGAGTCCCACCTTCCTTTCACTCTACTGCATGAATTTTACTTTAGAGGTGAGTCCCATAACCCATAGTAAAGAGCATGTGAGTCCCACTCTGGTATTAGGCAAAAGTGAGACTCTGAACCAGATTTTTTTCTCAAGAAAATCATGAAGTGGTATTCCAAGAGAAAAGAAGTGATAGTAGATATTTACAAAATTCATATGATAAGTAATTACTAAGAATGCTCTAGGTACCAAGAATTGATGATATGACAAGAAAGAAAGGAGTGTTCCTGCATTGATGGCTTTGGCTGACAATAAAACAGAAAGATAATATCCAGTTAAGGCCACAGTCAGCTCCACAGTAAGGAAAGACATGCAAGCCACAGCCATTAGGGTTCAGAAAAACATGCAATAGATAAGAAGGAGATGGTGCAGATGGAGATGAGAAGAGGAGACATGTATCCCAACAGAAACAGAGGGAGTATCCTGGAAGCACAAACATCCATGTGCAATCCAAGAGGTCTAGATTGTGTTTTGCATTCTGTTCTTGTGCCTTCACCAGTATCCTCTTAATAAACCATCTTTGCATCAAGTTACCTTGTGTACATTTCTGTTTATTTCTACTAAACTTGCTCATTTGTATACACACACACACACATACACACACACACACACACACACACACAACAGACAAACCTAACTCATGCAGAAAATATCATGTCTAAGGACTCCATTCATTCATTCATCAATGGATTGCTTACTTATTAGCCATCATTTGCTGAGCTTTTGTACTCCCATAGGAGGCTAAAACTGAACAAGACCCAGTATTTCCCATAAGGACCTCATATGAGCATGTGCAAAAACATATTATTTAGCAATTACAGTTCAAATGACAAGTCCTACACAAACACCATGTGCTTGAGCACTGAAGAGGACATTAAATACCTTGAGAGTTAGTAAAAGCTTCAGAAAACAGTTGCCTTTCTGAGTTGAGTTAAAAAGTATGAGGAAGAGCCACTTGAGCAAATGGAAAAGCATTGTGTGCAGAGCAATTAGTATATGCCGGGGAGGTGAGATAAAACAACATGGAGTATTTGAATGAAGACTGGTATAGTTAGATATGGCTGGGTTATAGGAATAGAGAGCGCTCAGCGCATGGGGGGAATGCAGATGGAGAAGCAGGCAAAAGGGTGTTTTGAGATGAAACCAGAAAGATAATAGTAATAGATCTCCAATGATCTTACAGTTCTGTGAAGAAGAAGAGGAATTAGCCCCCTTCAAACTTCAATAGCGTTATGGTTCATGCTGTCCATATTTTTTAATTAGATGTCACAGGTCAAAATTATTCTAATTATCCAACAATTTAAGGATTAGGAAAGTGAGATTCAGAGCCAATGTTCTTTCGTTTGTATCACTGTCACCCAGCTGAGGTAGAGAGGTTTGCTCTGTGCCATGTACAGTCTGGAGCTATGGATGGATTTGAAGCAGGAGACGGTGTGATTTCATGACTCACACTGATAATAACAGCGTGGAAAGCAAGTTGGGGAGAAGAACTGAGAATGGAGATGAGAGGGACTGGTTAAAAGGATAAATAAGAAAGTCAAGCAAGACTTAGTGAGGTCTTGGGTTAAGAAAAGAGCAGTGGATCTGAGAAGGAACAAAGGGTGGGCTGAAGATACACACAAGGGAGTGGTTTACGAGGATCAGTGAGTCTAAGCTAGGGAAATGGGAAAATGTGGTCATGAAGTGGTGACAGATAGTATAAATTTGGCCAGATCAAAAGACAACAAGGAATATTAATGGGACCATTGGTTGCCTACTTTTCAATTCCTGGTAGAATTTTCCCAATTTTTCTCCTACCTGGACACAGCTCACTGCAACAATTAAGGGGGCACATGATCTTCTGTAGAGTTCTGTCTTCATATTCAAACCACTCAATGCTCCAAATCTTTTCCTCATCAAAAGCTCCCTAACATACCTCATAACTGTATCTTTTATCCTTGGATTGTAAGTAGAAAGTCACCTTCATGTGTGACTCCCACCAGGCATTGCATACCTGCTAATTCAATCCCTTCTCTTCAGTAAACTTCTCCTGTGCTCCCCGGATCTCATGATCAGTCCTTGGCAAAATCCCAGTAATTTCAATGTCTCCAGAGTGTGCTTTACGCAAGCTGCCCTTGAGGAGAAGTTTCCCTGACAGCTTCCTCTGGCTGTGGCTGTCTTCTTCCCCACATTCCTGAGCATGTGAGTGAGGTGGGCCCTCCATTGTGATTTCCCGAATTCTGTCTATCTTTCCTGTCTAAGCTCTGCTTCTTTGAATCCAGAACCCTCAGGCGCTGTAACCCACTATTTTCTTTGTTGTGGTTTCCTTTTCTTACGTCTCTTCACTCCCTGAAGATTTTCAGTATTAAATTTTCCATCACTCTTAGCACCTCCAAACCTGTCTCATTCCTGCTGAGTTCTGCATGTGTACAGAAGACTTGCAGTCCCTGGCTTTTCAGATCCCCATTCTCCTTTCCCCCTCTTGGCTCCTCATGTTGCATTCTAACCCCTCTGAACAGACTATACTCAAGACTACAGCCATAGCCTGAATTTACTGGTAGCTATGTTCTCACATGTCATAATTCTCTTCTCAACAGTCCTTTTTCTTTGTTTTAGCCAAAAATGTTGCTTCTTCTTGCACCAAGGAAATTGAAACAGTCAGAGAAAAAAACCAGTGGTACCTTCCCACCACCATGTCTGTCCGTCCTTCACATCTGTCCTGGTGAACTCTGTGTTGCCCTCCACTGAAGAATGAGAAGTTCAGGCTTCTATGAGTGACCAGAACCCTTCATGCATGAAATATTAACTCCCCTCACACAAGGATTTTGCACTTGTAATTATCTCCTATCATGCCTGCATCATCACTTTTTCCTTCCAACTGAATTATTTCAATCAACACAACCATAACCTGGAATAGCCCTTCTGAAAAGACAAAAGCACGTCCTTCTTTGATCACATGTTACTCTCCAGTTAGCTCCATTTTTATGCTTGCTGTTACAGAAAAACATGTCTATTCACATCTGTTTCCTCTCTTTGCTTTCTCTCTTGAGTCTTCCCCACTCAGCTCAGTGGACCTGCCTGTCGCTGAAACCACTCCTCTGGGGTTACCAGTCACCTTCACGCCAGTTCTGTGTCTCCATTGCTCAAGAGTTTCCATCTGATGCCAGGTGCAATCTTTTCTTTATGTGGAGATTATCAATAGGTTACTGAAGTCATGATGACCATTGCTGTTTTAGAAATATGCCTGAGATCATGTTACTCCTTTACTAAACCTCTGCCATGGCTGTCTACTCCACTTGTATTTACATTAAAGTTCCTTACTGTGGCCCTGGGAACTGGTGCTAGCAGACTCCTGAACCTCATCTCCTACCAGTATCTTCTTTGTTCACCTCTTGGCCCCCACGCCAGGCTTTCCTGTACTCTGAGGAGGCATCCAAGCTGGTTCCTACCTCAGGGCCTTTACACGTACTGTTTCCTCCTCCCAGACTCTCTTTCCTCAGTTCTACACACAGCTGCTTTCTTTTCACTCACACATCAGTCTCAAAGGCTAAATTCCCATGTTCCCTTCCTGACCAGTCTACTGTAAGCTGCTCTTTCTCACACACCAGGAAATACGTCCCGTGTAACTCTGTCTTCCTTTACATCATGACCTGAAGCTAGTTTGTTGTCTTTCCTATTATCTCACCCCCATTAGAATGTAACCCTGTGGGAGCAGTGACCTCATCCATTGTCCACAGCAGTGTAACAGCCCCTTGGCCAGGGCCTGCCTTGGAGTGGATGCTCGGTGCCTGCATGCTGTAGGCTGAATGGCCCGCCATCTTGCCTGGCTGACTGGTGGTGGCTTAGGCTCTGGCCCCCCAGGACCTCTGGAGCTGTACCTTGATGGCCCCCGTGGCAATCTGGATGTGATGCAACCGCCGCAACGTGCTCTCTCTGTCAATGAAGTAGGAGGCTGCCAGCTGATGCAGGGTCTCCAGGGACACAGCAGAGCTGTTCCCACTGCCCCCAACCGCAGGGCCACCTCCTGTTGATTCTGTCTTCCTGCCCAGTTTCCGCTTGTCCACAAAAATGGTCAGAGATTCTTCTCCTATAGCAAAAACACAGGTTCATAGGCTCAGGCTCAGCTCCTGAATTCCCTACTAGTGAGAACCAGAAACCCTTGCCCAGGGCTGAGAGAGCATAGAGGAAGCGCCGTCCCTGCTGTGGCCCTCTTTTTCTCCCTTGCCAGCTTTCCAGCCTCCTCCCTGGCTTCTGTCCTGAGAGGCCTTCCTTTCCCTTAGTTCCTTTAGCATCCCAGAACTCCCTGCCCTCACCCCCAGCTCATCTGTCTAACATCCTTTATTGATCTCTGTCCTAGGCAATCTACCGCCATGGGGGACAAAAATCTCTTGCTCTCAAGTTGTTTATGACAAGTTGCCAAGGCTATTTCTACTCCCTTAGAAGGGGGAAAAAGCCTTAAAGCTCTGGTTCCCTCCTCCTCATCAAACACTCCACACCTACCGCACAGCGGCAGCTGGCCTAAACCCTGAGAGAGCTTCTTTTTGTCCATTAGCTCGTGAGCTAAATGTTATAAAAAGGCCTGCTTTCTTCTTCCCAGGGTGCAGAGTACTCTGGGTCTCTTCAGTGTTTCCAACTCTGCCCCAAGTCCCAGCCGCAGCGCCACTGCCCCATCCCTACCCTCACCCTGCCAGTGGGTGATTCACCAGCCCAGAAGAGATGAGATTAGTTTGGTTGATTAGGAAGCAGGAGTCAGGGATTCAACGGATATCTATTTCTTAGCCTATAGGTTTGACATTTGTAGCCATAGCAAACATAAGTGAAAGGCCTTGGGGTTAAATGGCTCAGTTAATAGAAAACTGAGAGCGCCCCCTGCTGGTGTATTCTTAGTAGAAGCCTGTCTGTCCCCAGCTGCTTCTCACCCTATCTCCTCTTCAGGAAGATGCTTATAAGAAAATAGAAATGTCCTGGAGTGAATTTGGATGCCTAGAGAAAACACAGTACTCCCACACACCAGAAACGAAATGTTAACCAGGAAACAATAGGCCAGGAAGGAAAAAAAATACCCACGAAGACAGCTGCAGCTAAGCTCACTAGATCATAAAGATATTTCAAATAATCTGGCTACCACTTACCTCCAAGGGTGGCAGAAAGTAAGAAATGAGTGCCGTACTTTTTGATCAGGTTTTCGGTAACCTGTTGCAGGTTGGGCCTCCTTCCAAGGAGGCGGATATTCCGCACAAACTCTGGGGCAAGAGGCAAAGGCAAGCTGAAGAAGTCTTTTCTTTCTAGAGCCAAGCTGTTCACTTTCCAGCGGGCAAACTCCCTGGAAGAAAAGGCAAGAGGTAAGGAAAAGCTCTGTGTATCCAGAGCAAGAGGCATAAAATCTGAAGGATCTCTCTCCTCGACTGGCTGACCTTGCCTCCGCTGGTTCCTAGTGTGGGCGGAGCAGAACTAGAAGAGACCCTGCATCCCTCCATGAGAGGGATGAGCCCAGCTCATCCGACCTCCATGAGCGCCTCACTACACATTTTCTTTGTGAAAAAAGCAGTGCTGTCTAGTAGTGTAGGGTGATGGAAAAATATTGAAACAGTTTTGCAGAGAGGTGATACAGCCACAGCTCTCACCCAGAAGACACACCACCTCACCCACCATGGCGGTAGTTACTGACTGGTAGAATCAGGGAAACAGTTCTAGACCGTCAAGTCTCTAGCGTGTCTCAGATTCCTTTACTCACAAATGATCACAGGGCCTGTATTTGCTTCTGCAGTTTGTATCTATTGATAATTGCCATTTTAGAAACTGAAAAATAAATTTATAGTAATTTCATTTGAAGGTAGCAGAATTAAACCCATTACATATAACAGAAACATTTTTATGACAATAATGATATGTTCTGAAACAAATTTAACAAGAAACAGTGTTTTTTGTTTTTTGTTTTTTTCTTTTTTTATAAGTTTCTTCAGTGTCTGGCTTAGCAAAAGAGAACTGTCTTCTCAGATTTGCTTCTGTTGCAATCTGTTGTCACAGTTGTGGACTTTTGCTTTTGAGGCCACTCTAAACAAATGGTAGTTTCTTAAAGGTCAGTAACAGTATGGTATCTGAAGTCATATCCACAAACTATTACATTAAAATCTGGTGTTCCACGCTGGAGACTGAATGATCTTTTACCCTGCATGATTTTATAACAGTGTGCATTGGTCATCTTGAAAATCTCAGATCACTGAGTTATGCAGATCTTCTACAATTTGACACTTTTCATTATATAATATCACAACATTATATTAGCTAATATCATCACCAATGAGAAAAATCTATAAATATTGGGAAGCTGTCAAGCTCCTGATGACAAATACAAGCTTTTTAAAATTTTAATTTTTGTTTGCAGGTTTAAATTTTAACATTGGTAACAAATACTGTTAGTTTTCATTAAAGAAGCTGGATTATTTCATTTTTTTTTTCTTTTAGAAAATGTCTGCCAAGTACTCCAGTCTGGGTAACCATAGATTGTCAGTTTATTATGCTTTAAAGAAAAATAGAGTTCCATAAAGGAAGTTGCTAATTCAGCTTGAAACTCAATCTCATGTGCATTTTTCCTTGAGACACCAATGGTTTTGGTAACCTCAGATGTGCTAAACATGTCTTTCCCATTTCATCACCCAGACATTAAAAACACATACATTTAAGGTCAACATCCAATCAAATTCAAGTTGATTACTTTAAGGATAACCTAGAGTGAAGCTAGTCAGTGTGTATATTGTGTCTATGTGCATTTGGTTAGGCACACGGGTATGCTGAAAGCTCATTTGGTGTGACTCTGTTTATCAAATTAGGACACCAGCAGTTTTATTGACCTTTGCTTCGATACTTCAGTGCCAGTATCTCATGTACATCTGAAAGAACGAAAAGAGTCCATTACGTTGAGAAACTCTGTTTCAGAAAATAGCAACGTTCCTTCCTAGTCCCATCCAGAATTGTAATCTTCCAGTTCTGCAACTCGCTGAAATGTTTGCTTGTTAAAGGGGAAAGATCTCCCAGCAGAATCTTTGTCTTGAAATGAAGTTTAAAAGATCATAAGCACCCTCATAGGAAAGGAGTTTTCCATTGTCTCCCAAATTACACTGGTAAGAACCAGCTCCACTGCCTTAGGAACAAAAAAGGGCATAGTCATTGACCGTCCTCACCCTTCCCATAGTGACAGAGCTCACCCTTGATCTAACCTTCCACCAAAGACATGGACTGCAGAAAAAAAATATAGCAATTAAAAATAAATAATTGCAAATCAATAACCAATATGAGGCTCTAGAATCCTCCTCCCCCCATATAACTCAAGAGGCTAGAGGAGAGGAGGAGCATGTGACAAACATCATGAGGGAAACAAAGGGAAACTGTGACTAATAATTCGTGGTTCCAATGAAGCCATTCAAAATTCTCACAGTGGAACTTTGTTTATCTAAAGCAGGCAAGTTATAATGATATATTATCAGTTGTTTCTTTTGTGTAGGAAATGCTAAACCTCAATTAAAGTGCAGAGTATTTGTCAAAAGCATTTTCTATCCCAAATCCCACTGCAGAATAAGGAATTGTTGCCTGATTTCGTTTCTAATTGGCTGTATGGGAACTAGTATCCTCTCCTTGACTAGTTGATAATTGCATTGATGAGTCATAAAAGCAGACTACTAAACACAGAAGTAGAAATAAAAATAAAAAATAATCCTAAGGTTCATTAAACCCAAGCCCACTGCCTTGAGTAGGTTATACCCAGACATTATTAACTATTAATTCCTGTCATATTCTTGTTATAGTTTTGGAGAAGACATCCTTCTATTTTCCCTAATTTCTTATAGAGTGGTCAATTCTTTTTCCTGAAAGGAAAGCCACTTTACTGTAGAAGTAGGCCTATCTGTAATTAAATATAATAAAATTAATAGACAATGGCTTGTTCAGTTACGTAATTTAGGAATGCCAAATATTATCTCCTTTGAGAAGCATTCCCTGAATATCTTATCCAAAAAAGCATCCTCCATCCTCTGCCCTTGTGCTCGGCTCTTTTTTCTTTTCTCTATCTGATACAATCTGATTTCATTCTCTTTTTCTCCCATTAAAACATACACTCTACAAGGGCAGGAGTTTTTATGTCTGATTCTACTATGTCTCCAGCTGTAGAACAGTACTAGATGTTCTTACATTAGAACAGAGATAAATGTTCAATATATTTTTAACAATCAAATGAGAGATTGTTTATATCACTTCTGTCACTAATGTCACAGCTCTTCTGAACATCTAGTTGTTTGTATATTATTGAAAATTTGATTAAAATACTTACATGCATAGTGATATATGTGCACCCATGTTCACAGCAGGACAATTTGTGATAGCTAAATCTTGGAAATAACCAAAATGTCCATCAAGCGCAGAGTGAATGAAAAAGATGTGGTATTTTTATACAATGGAATATTACTCAGTTATAAAAAGGATGATATTGAGGCCTTCATAGGTAAATGGAGGCAACTTGAGACTATCCTCATAAGTGAAATAAATAAGAATCATATTTATAAATATCACACTGTATCTCTATTGTAAAAAAGTAATAAGAACTGTAGGAGTAATAAAATACAAAATGTGTAATTGCTATTGTAAAAAAGAGAGGAAAAGAAAGTGCTCTAAAGGATACAACTGTATGTATGTTTAAGTGTGTAGGATTGATAACCATATTACTAGGGTTTATTGGATTGTTGAACAGAACTGTTTGCAGTCTCATTGTTTAAATGTCCACTTTATATGCTTTAATTCTGTAACTTGAACTACTATTTTTAAGAGGACAATGTGTAACTTATCAACTAGTGACTTCTTACTGTTTATTTTTTTGAAATTCTGTATTATTTCTACCCTTTTTTCTGTTTTGCTTTTTTTCTCTTTAAGTAAAATAAAAAATAGTTACATGATGAGAATGTATGTGAGCACTAACTTATTACCGATTGATCTGAAATAAAGCGTATAAAATGTGTATACATATCAATGAAAAAATTTGACTTGACTTATAAACATGTAGCATAGGCATAATTTTGTGCACTTTAATGATATAAATCAAAGAACTCTTGGGAAATCTCTTGTGTTGTCCTCTTACATTGTCTTCATGAGGCATGGACAACTCCCAGTCACTGCTTTCTACACTACAACGTCCAGTGAGTGCAAAGATCTCTTAATCAGACTCTGCTATGTCTAGCACCCAAATGTTAGTGGTCAACATTTCTGATCCTCTACACTGCGGCTGACAGTAATTTTTGCCATATTTGTGTGCTCATTTTCTTAAAGATCACCAAACAAAGCAAGAGTCAGAATTTTGCACTTTCCTCAAGGTTGACATCAGACTTGGAAAAACATGTATTTCATTCAAACCCATAGGTCTGAGTATAGCTTCCATAAATGAAGTCGAAGCTCAGAAAGCTAAGTAATTTTGCCCAGTATAACTAAGAGAACCTGGGCTGTTAAGATGGGAGAAACATTTGAATAGCATTTGCCAGTCCTTTCCGCATTATGATGTACGTTGAAAATTCTCTTTGAATGGAGCACTAGGACCATGGAAAAGGTTGCTCAGATCAGAGAACAGTGCATGCTGTCTTCCTATGCCAGTTCTAACCCAGATGCCCCAAAGACTGTAATCCATTTGTGGCACCCCCAGAAGCAGGCATGTACATTGATGAGGAAGGTCTAGTCCAACCCTTTCTTTTATGAGAAAACCCTGAGACAGCAAGGGCAAGAAGTTACCTGAAACAAATTAACCAAGTGGTAGTGGAAGAGGAACAGAACACTACAGTCCTGACTTTCAGTGCTGCCAGCAGCTGCTATGATAGTGACAAGGGAAACAGCCAAACCCTAGGGAGGTGCTGGGGGACGGACAAATTGGAATGAGGTGCACGCTAGGCAAGCACTCTTCCATTGCCCTGCACCCCGGCCTAAGAAACTAGCCTGGATGAAGCTGCACCATTAGGGAAGCAGCTCAGCTTGAAACCCAGACCAAAGTTTGATGTCGGTACCATGCTGTCATTTTTAGACTGCTTTCCTTTGTGTACTGGTTAAGAGTATTTTATTGTGCTGTCATTCTTTGCCAATGTTTACTACCTTTAACAAAAATAGTTTCACTGTCCAACACATTCCATATCTTTAGCTATATGAAATATGAATTTACTCTATATTCAAAACAATGCAACATTTATATGGCAGCAAAATTCTTTTTGGATTAAAATGGTTTCAACATGCTCATTTGCAAGAGAAGAAATTGCTACTGAGAACAAAGTCAAGTATGTACACAGGGCACCATAGGAG